CTCATAGATGTTGTCTAGTTCTTCACCCTGTACGTTCAAGATAGGCAAGCATAGATGGTGAAGGTAGCCCTCTGTCCTATTGCTGACCATGCTCCCTGGGCTCTCTGATGCTGTAACAGACTGGATTGCTGGCGGTTTTCTCCCAAGTAAAATTTCCATTTCAGGTTAGTAATGCTATCTGGCTGCCCCTGAAGGTACAGCCTTCATACTGTTGGCACAAACACTGTGCAGCAGAAGTCAAACCTACATTTCTTCCCCTTCCCTCAGGTGTCATAATATTGATCAGATTGCCTCCTCCACCACCAGCAAAGCATCTTCCAGGTTTCCTGTTACCTACAAATAAAGTCTAGTCTCCTTAGTGTAGAAATTTCATGGCTTTTGTAGAAATCCAGGGAACCTCTTCCCACCCTTGTCTCCCAGCCTCATGATGCTGAGCTCTATCTCCTGCTGCCTTTCTTTGGTGTCTAATCTCACATCACTCACCCCACCTGGAACTACTTCTACATTTTGGCTTGCTAGAATCATAGCTGGCCTCAAAAGCACAGCATGAGCAGAAATCTGCTTTGACCTTCTAGGACCCTCTAGGTGAACTCTTTATGGTGCTTTAGTACTGTTTTTTCCTCACCACAGATTCTTTGGGTACATGTCAATCTCACTTATGAATGTAGAATGATGCCTTTGTCACCGTCATGGGCCCTCACACCACTCATCATGTGCCTGTCTCAGAGCAGCGAGCATGCATTCATTTAACAGATTTGTGAATGAATGTTGAGTTTCTATATGTGCCACACTGCTCAGCACTGGGATATAAGGACAACCTGGCAGCCATAGACCCTGCCCTGTGGGACTTACCTTCTAAAAGTGATTCTCGCTACCTTTTGCTGAATGCCTACTCTGTGCTATACTGCGAACTAAGTGATTTACTTTTTTTAACTCATATAATCTTCACCACAGCTTCACAGAGGTGGATTTTTTCTTATCACCATTTTTCACATGAAAATCTGAGGCTTGGAGATGTTAGGTAATTGGCTCAGGGTCCCACGGTTCGTAAGGAGCAGTGAGGTTGTGAACTCAGGTCTCTTGACTTCCCAGTTCATAGTCATAGCCCCTCACAAGACTGACTGCAGGTGTCGGCACCTGAGCGTCAGTGAATCAGTAGAGGACTGGGTGTCGCATATTCTGTTTCCTCTTCTTTCATGATACCATGTTCTATTTCCGCAGATTGAGCCATACATGCCATATGAATTCACATGCGAGGGGATGCTGCAGAGAATCAATGCTTTCATTGAAAAACAGGTAAGGCTCCTCAGAAGTCCCTCTCTCTTTGCTGCGTCTTGCTTCCTCTTAACCCAGAAGGCTCTCGCAAACAGTTAACACCTCACCATGTTTCTGCTTGTTTTCCCGATTTGAAAGACTCCAGAAGTTGGATAATGGCTTGTTGGAATTCTAAAGCATGCCCTGTCATCGTCCCCCAAGGGAGTCTGTCTGTCCTTGGGGGAAGAATGTTCTATATGATGGTGGAAGGCCAAATGGTAACTTATAGGAGAGACTTGACCATCAGTCCTGTGCCCTGTGTTCTGAGGGGCATCACAAAGACTTGGGTGGGGAGGGAGGCAGAGAAGACAGCTCTCTGCTTCTGCCTCATGGTCATTTCTCACCCTAAGAAAGGCAAGGACTGAACTCTGTGGTTTCTAAGCATTTTTTTTAGTATATGTTCTGCAATTCCAAATATGTTAGGACTTTTTAGTGGTCTTCAAACATCTTTTCAAACAGGACCCCTTTTCAAATGAAACTTTCCATAAAACCCACGTATATAAAACATAAAAGCAGCACTTCATTTCCAAAGCAGGTAGGGTTCGACAAATCCCGTGACCCCAACAGAGTGAGGAAGCTATGGCTTGCGCTCATGGAAATAAAGGCTAAGAGTGTCATTGCCATCATTTATAACATTTAATTCCATAGGCTTCAAAAGCAACACAAGAGCTAAAAATAGACAGACTGAGAACCCCCATAGGTAGAGAAGTATGAACTTCTTGACCAAATTCCAGAAATAAGGGGCTCCTCTTAAAGGGCAAAGCAGAGTGTCTTGGGGCGATCAAGAGATCTTTACACAATAGAGGATGAGGATTGTGTAGACTGAAAATAGAAATGGTACGCTGTTGAAAATGTAAGTAGGAATAGATCATAGACCCAAAGTAGGTTTCAAAGAAAAGATTTCAGGTGATAGACTGTGCTGAGCGGTGGACAGTCCTGGGTGCTACTGTTGGAGAGGGAGGCTTCAGGGTGGCATGTCTGATATTTTTTGTTGGCTGCATGAGGGCATGCTCTGTAGCCAGCCACCTGGGTTCCAGTTCAATCGCCATGACTTTCTGGTTGTATGACCTGGGCATGCTATTTAGCCTCTCTGTGCCTTAGGTTCCTCCTCTGTAAAATAAGAATAATAATAGAACTTCATAGGGCTAATGTGAGGATTAAATGAACTAAAAATACATATGAAATGCTTAGAATACTGCTGGAACATAGTGCTCGATGAATACAAACTAGGACTGTTGATTACTTAATATAGCATATATTATGTTGTTATATAAGCATACCGTATTATTACATAATTTGATATACTATTCATCAGACTTTTACCGTTAGAGCTAAGCTTTTGAGTTGTCATCTCATTCAATCTTTACATGACACCTGAATTAAGAATGACAGTATCACCATCCTACCTTTTACCTACAGACGGTATGCCAATGAGTACCAAGCTCATCACAGTGCATCATCTTGTTTAATCTTCATGTCATCCTGTGAGCTGGCAGTAATAACCCCATTCTCTGGATGTGGGAACTGAGACTTGTAGTCACAGGCCTCACAAGTCATGGAATCAAGTCTTGATGCTAGGTTGGTCTGAGCCCAGGCCTACACCAATGGCACTGAAGGGCCTCAGGCCATGCAGGTGGCCCAGAGCTATATTTCCCATCTTCTTTTACCTCAAGGAGTCGCTGGTTCCACATGAAGGTGCAGGCAGGAGCTGGCAGTGAGTTTTAAGACATCACAGCTCTTAACTACCGTCAAAGAGACTGAGGTTTTACCAGGATCCTTGCAGCTGCTTCTGAAACTCACCTCCTCCTCTCCTGTCTCTACTTCCTCTCAGGGAAAATTGCTACATGAAAAAAGACTCTTTATCAAGTTTATTTGAAGGCTTTTCTTTCTTCCTGAAAACTCTTGAACCCCAGCCAGTCCTTAAAAGTTCTCATGTAGCCTATTCTCTGTAAATCTATTACTAGGTTTCCTTTCAAACAGGAAGGTCCTGCTCCCTAAACAGACATTGCTAAAGCCTACATAATGCAGAGGCCACACCCAGCTTGTTCACTTCTAAATCTCAAGTGCCTGGCCGTCTGCCTTGGTACACAGTAGGTGCACGATAACTCCTAGGTGAAGGAAAGAATAAATGAGTGAGAGGGCGAGAGAGCACATGCGCTTTTTTTTTCATGTGTACCAGGAACTGGGAAGCCCATCTTGGACCTTAGGAATGGAAAATATGTCATTAAAATTGTCTTCTGGAAAATGTGCTAATAAACCTGCCCTTTCACATCACCTTCTGGGTATAGACTTTTTTGCAGAGCTCTGTGGTTCACAGAAATTCAGAGATTTCTCTGTCGTCTGTCATTCATTCATTCATCCACTGTAAATGTATGTCATCTATGTGCTACAGACTGTGCTGGGAGTTGGGGAAGATGTCAGAGGACTAGTCCTTGTCCTCAGGTAGCTTCAAGTATCGCAGAGAAGCCAGTCAAGTCCACAGACGATGCCACTGGTGCAGGTTACGCCCTGTAATAGTTATGTGACCTGGGTGCTTTGGGATAGCATAGCTCAGCCTGCAGGATGGGGACGGGGAGGGGAAGGGGTTGCGGGAGAGTCTATCCCAAAGCTTTTGCAGGAGAGGATTCTTGAAGGCAGCTGGGGCTACGGGGAGGATTGTACAAGTCAAGATGCAAAGGCCTAGGGAAAAAAATTAAGAGAAGTTACGATGAATTGTTGGAAGTTTAGCTATGACCGAAAAAACAATATGAGAGGATGAGGCTGGAGGAGGAGACAGATTGTAAAAAGATGCTGAGGCTCAGCCGAAGAATTCAGATTTGATTCTGGGACAACAGGAAGCCAAAGGAAGGTTTGAAGGCAGGATGAGTACAGTGTTGCTGTCAGGTTGGTGTTTTAGAAAAATCATTCTAAGGATCGTCTAGGCATTTCTTATTAAACATTCTCCCAGTGCTGCTAAACAAGCAATAAAGGGGCCTATTTCGAGTTTATCCCAGGCCTCTGGGGAGAGTTTTATTGATGCCATAATGTTCCCCCAACTCTACAGGGAAGACAGGAAGCCAGAACTCCATTTGTTGACAGATTGGGTCTTCTGCTTTTAATGATTACCTCCAGGCCCCCATGTTGTGGAGCTCTGGGTGTTCAGTATTTTTGCAGCTAGGAATATCTTCAGAGAGCAGCAAGACTGGGGCCTGGGATAAACCCAGGGGTGTTTCTGGTATGAACAGGAAAACCTCAAGCTCTGAAGAGGTAGTAACGCTTCAAGTTTCCCGGTCCCTTGAAACTTGTAGTAACACCTCAAGTTTCCCGGTCCCTTGAACTGTAGGAGCTCGCAGCTCTGATTGTGCTGATCTCTGCCTCCCAGTCCTCCCTGTGATCTGCAAGGGGAACAAGGGAGCTTTTATACCAAAACCCTTTCAAAGTTGTCCATCACTGCTCACCCAAGGCAGCAGAAACCAGAGGAAGCCAAGTGACAGCAATTGCAAAAGCCCCAGGGTTCAATGTTGAGTTGAGTGGTTGACAGCAGGAAACCTACCTCATACCCAGTCAATCCGGCTGGAGCACCCAAAGAGAAAGAATCCTGGCTTTAGGGAAACCACTTGCTTTCTCCCCTTAATGTCCTTGCCTCCTGTTTACTGTACTAAAAATGTTGATTTGGGATAGTACCCTCTTTTAAATCAGATCTCTAAAAGAGGCGCTCTCTCCAGAAGCAGGGGCTTGGTGGCAAGGCAAAAATTTCTTGTAATCTCAGATCAAGAGTACTATTCTTCCCTAACCTGAGTGGGTCTGGCCTGTTAAGGTTCTCATTAAGCGTTTCTTGAGAAAGACTTAGGTATTTGCCTCAGGCCGAAGTATATCAGTTTCTTTTGAGAGAATGACAATGTTCAGATTGACTTCTGAAAACCATACATATGTTCTTCAACCCTATTTTCTACCTGTAAAGCCCCTGTAAATCTACAGGATGTATATGAGCATAATATGTGCTCATATTATTTTGCAAAGAACTATGTGATTCACACGGAAAGCATTCTGGATACATGGAGGGAAACGAGTTAACTCCAAGAGCTGCTATGCAATCAGCTTAGGTCCAGGGAAATCTGGCTCATCTGAGCCCATCTTGAACTCCCTAGGGAGTGTTCTAGGTGCAAGGACAAGCCTGGTAGTGAATCTCGATAGCACAGGGTCAGGGGAATGGTAGAGGCGAAGAGGTGACTGGTTGCAGAAAAAGAAGACAAGGAGTTGAAAAGGGGAGAAGTTATCACTAGCCTGGGGAATGTTTGCTCTTTTGAAAAATCAGCGCTGCCGTTTGTCAAGCCATTCCTGATCCCAAAGAGACTGGGCAAGTAATGAGTAAGCGTTGGACCCTGGAGTCTGGTTCTGCCCTCACTCTTTTTTGTGACCTTGAGCAAGTTTCCTAACATCTCAGTGCTGTTTCTCTTCTGTGTGATGGAGATAATGCTGCTGCCTACCCCATAGGTTTGGTGGAGGAATCAATAGATTAATACATGTTTAGGGCTAAGACGGTGCCTGGCACAGAATAGGTCCTCTGAAAGCCTTAGCTGCTTGCCGCTTCAGGAGCCCAGAAGCCAAGGTGTGTTTTTTAAAACAGCTTCATTGAAGTATAATTTACAGGCAATAAAATTCACTCCATATAAGCGTATAATTCGATGATTTTTTAGCAAATTGATAGAGTTGTGCATTTACCACCACAATCTAGTTTTATAACAATTCCATCACCCAGAACAGCTCATTTGTGCCTATTTGCAGTCAGTCCATGCTCCCTGACCCAGCCCCAGGAAAATACCATATTCTGTCTCTATCGATTTACCTTTGCTGGAGATTTCTGGCTTCTTTTACTCGGTATGTTTGTGAGGTTCGTGCACGTTGCAGTATGAGTCGGCACTTCATTCCTTTTTTTATTGCTGACTAATATTCCTTTGTATGGATATACCGCCGTTTGTTTATCCATTTACCAGTCGATGGAC